CGGCCATGCTCACGCTCACGGCCGGGCCAGGCCCTGGGACTGGCTGGAGGCCTGACCGCCTCTGGGTTCAGGTGGGCTTCTCAAGGGGACAAGCCCTGCCAGGGGTGGTCCAGCTGTGTCCCAGCGGTGTCCCCTCCAGGGAGTGGGAGAGAGAGCTCCCGGAGGTGGGCATCCTCTGTGGGGAGCCAGCAAGAGGCCAGGACGGCCCCTCCCTCGTTCCACTCCCGTCTCCGCCAAACCCTANTGGGCATCCTCTGTGGGGAGCCAGCAAGAGGCCAGGACGGCCCCTCCCTCGTTCCACTCCCATCTCCTCCAAACCCTGGTCTCTGGAAAAAAAATTGAAAACCCAGAGAAAGAAAATTCAAAGCGTCGTGGCCGTGGTCCCCCTCCAGGTTGCCATCCACGCCCGCCCAAGTCACCCAGGACTGGACCAGGTCCCCTAAGACAAGCGCCTGGGAAACAGCTGGCTTTTGCCAGAAAGCCCCACGGTGCCTGGCACTGTGCCGAGTTCTGGCTCGTTCACTCACTCCGTCCTCACAGTGGCTCAGTGGGATCCCCACTCACGGGCTGGGAAACTGAGGCACACAGCCATGGTCTCATGCTGACAAGTAGTAGGGCTGGGCCTTGCTTTGTGCACTTGGCCCTCCACGGTGGCCCCTTCCGAGGCAGGACAAGGACTGTGATGGATAAAAGGAAACTGGTTCTCACACAGGACGGGGGGTGATCGTTTTCTCCTAAACTGGCTTCGTATTATTCCTCTTACAGGTTCAAGCACTTATTTTTTTTAAACGTGGACTCAAATCTTTCCTTTCGGAGCGGGAGATGGCCGTGAAGTGGCCTGGGGCTCCATCGAAGGACAGCGGTGGAAGGCGGGCCCCGGGTTTGGATTCAGGAAGAGCGGGGGGAGGGCCTCTCTCTGCAGGTGACATCGGTGGCCACCAGGTCCCTGTTTCTCTTCAGAGTCTCTGGCACAGGTCTGAGGTGACCAACCTCTCCCCCCTCCCCGTCCCTAGTATTTCCCTCTGGGACCCTCTCCTTGCATTTTCACACCTCCTTTGTCTCCAGGCCTCCAGGCCCAAGTAGGGACCATCCACCCATTTCACAGATGGATAAACGAAGGCTCTGGAGGCTGAGGGATGTGCTGAGACACACTGGAGCCTGTTCTTAAGTCCAGGCCTTTCCATCTCCTGCTCTGCTCTGCCTGGAGGGGAGAGACACCTCCCACAAATGCCTCTCATATAGGATTCACCTCCTTACACATCCTCGCTGCCCAGGACTATTTAACGAGGGAAAATAACCCCCCTCCCTCTCCCGTCTGGTATTTAAACACCTTCATAGCTTAAGGGCATGTGGGTGTGTGTTCTCTATTTTTCAGATTAATGTGAACGAGAGTATCTGTGAGTGACCTTTAAGCCGCAGGCCTCCTCTCCCCCGGCTCGCTGGGTGATTCTCCAGAGCCTCCCGGTCCCCAGGCTCCGCCACCACAAATGATTAAAGAGCAGGACAATTATAATTCAAGTAATGAGATCAGAGGTTCCCGGTTACCACTTAATTTTAGAGCTGGTGCCGGAGGGGTTTTCAGAGGCTCTCCTGGAGGGACGCACAGGGAGGGAATTGCCTTTGAGAGGGCCCCGGGGCTGCACCCTCTGAGGTGCCTAGGCCCAGAGAGGGAGGGCAGTTTGCTCAGCAAGAGGCAGCAGGGCAGCCAGGCTAACTCCGCTCCTGCTCTCCGGCCTCCAGGCCTCTGCCCAGGCAGTGCCCCTCCCAGGATGCCTGCTGCCCCCTCCCTGCCCGCTGAGACCCTTTATGGGGCCGCCTCCCCTGTGAAGACTTTCCCGTCCCCTCAATGACACATAAGTGATCTCCTGTCTCTGTTCCGTTTCTCTCCCTGGACCCTAAGCTGGGAGGAATGCCGTTACCTGGGTCCTGACTTCCCCTCTGGGCCCAACCTTGACCTAAGCTCAGTGATATTTACACTGAGGACCGTGAGGTCCAGGGAGAGCCGGGCACGGGCTACCCTCACAGGGCCCCCGGCCAGAGGGGGACAGCATGTGGACAAACCAGAGCGCACGCGGGGGGCACATGTGCGTGTGGAAGACGGGGTCCCTCACCCCCATTCCCTGCCCTCCCTCCCCCCTGTGACCTTGCAGCGCCCCCAGGAGAGCAGGTAGAGTCTACCCCCTCACCCTATCGGCTCTGGGCTTGAAAGACAGATGATGGCCGGGTGACGTGAGCACAGACCTTGAATGAGCCGCAGCATGTGGCGTGGCCTCTCCTGCCACAGCCAAGGGGAGAACAGGCCCCAGAATGAGACTGTGGAGCAGACCCGAAAGGATTACCGCCAAGCGCAGGGGCACTGACTCAGCCCAGCCAGACCCGACCAGATTAGCCAAACCCCAGACCCGGGAACAAGAATGACACATTTATTGCCACGAGCCACCGAGCTTTGGGGACTGTTTGTTACAGAGCATCGTTGCTGCTAGCACTGACTGATACAGTGGAGATGTTCCTGTGGCAGGAGAGGGAAACTCAGGACAGATGTGACCCTCCCCCCCGGCAGGTGAATCTGGATGAAATGGCTAAATGATAAGCCACAGAGCACCCCAGGGGACATGTTCAGCAGGGCCTGGGCACCAGCCAGGGGGCAAGGGCTTCTGGATATCTGGAAGCCAGTGCCTAGGGCAGCGCTCCAGCAGAGCTTTGGTGCTGGAGGCTGGAGGTTTGTCCCCACGGCTGCAGGCCTGTGGCCTTCCAGGACAGACAGCCTCTGCAGTTGCACCCCTTGTCAGAGGTGGTTCCCTTTCCTCGGTTTTAGTCACCTGCGGTCAACTGCAGGCTGAAAATATTAAATGGAAAATTCCAGGAATAAACAATTCATAAGCTTTAAACTGAACGCTGCTCTGAGTAATGTGATGAAATCTCAAGCCGTCCCGATGCTCAGCCCTTCCTCCCGTGTGTCCACGCTGTAGATGCCGCCCACCCATTAGACACTTAGCAGCCACCTCCGTTACCGGATCGACTGGGCGGGATCACGGTGCTTGTGTCCAAGTCCCCCTCTATTCTACCTAATAATGGCCCCACAGTGCAAGAGTAGTGATGCTGGCAATTTGGGCATGCCAAAGAGAAGCTGGAAACTGTGTCCTTTAAGTGAAAAGATGATAGATAGATAGATAGATAGATAGATAGATAGATAGATGATAGATAGATATAGATAGATGATAGATAGATGATAGATAGATAGAACACATTCATATAACTTTTATTACATTATATTGTTATAATTGTTCTATTTTATTAGTTATTATTGTTACTCTCTTACTGTGCCTAATTTATCAGTTAAACTCTATCATATGTACGAATGCATAGGAAAAACATAGTGTACGCAAGGCTCAGTACTGTCCATGTTCCCGGCGTCCACGCAGCACGACTTGGGTGGCGGAGCACAGCTCACACTCAGGCTGGAATCACCCGGTTAACCCCACTCCCCGCCGTGTGCCCCAGAAAGGGTCGCCG